ACCCAAAACGGAGCGTGCCCGCTCTGACCGGTTTTAAAGGGTTAAAGAAATGTCATCAGAAAAAATGAAATCTTTCCAAAGCATGCCATCAAATCTGTGAGAACTTCAATTTCTCATATCAGTTAGTTCATTTGTTAATTCCCTAAATGTTAAATCAGTCAGTGAAAGACAATTCTGCTGTGTAACATTTGAGGGGGTTGGTTTATAATGCCACGAGAGTGCCATGAATTGTACATGTAATGAGAAAACTTTCTATTTGAGTTTCTGAACAAGACTCAGTCAATACAGCTGTTAATGAGTCACAGTGCTTCAGAGGGCTCAAGGTCCTGACCAGGTGAAGACAATCAAAAGCCCGACAGAATCCAACCCTAGAAGCCTATAAACTCACAGCTCCATCTGCTCTAGGCCACCATTTACCTGCTAGTCCTGCAAGGGCTCCAACCAAGAAGGCAGAAATAACTGACAGACTCTCAGGTCATACCAGGCCAAGTCAAAGCTAATTTGTAGCCAATTTAATTCTGTAAATAGCACATGGAGCAGCTAGATTTGTGATTGGTCCGTTTGGACTCAATGTAGTCCAACAGAATCAGATTGTTAAAAGTCAAGAGAAGAAGAAGAAACTAGTTAAAGACAGTGTCACTGACACTGAATGGGTCCTTTTCAGTGAGAGACATCAACCTAAGACACTCAAAGTCAATGAAGAAGTGTGAATACAGGTTAGAAATGTAAAAGCAGCAACGGGATGAGGTTAAACATAAGAGGTAACCAGTGCTCCTCTATATCACCAAGTAAATGATGTCATAAAAAAAGAATTACTGTGAATTTCAACACAATGTGGGCTGATCCAGTACAATGTTAGTGCAGTGCTGCAATAATGCTTCAGCAGGTAACTTAATATGGCAAAAACTGGTAAAAGGTATATAGCAATACAATCAGTCCTTTATATTATTTACACACACTCATGATTTCTAAGAACTGTTCTTTTGATGATTAACAATTATTATTGAGTATTACTGTAATATACGAGATCAAATCTCCAAAAATAGACTATGTTTGAGCAACCTTTGGTTAGAGGATGACAAAGTAGCTCATCCGGCTAATGATCCATTGCAACTCACAGATTATTGTAATGTGTCAAGTACAGAAAGAAAGTGTCAAGTTCTGTTGTCACTGCTTGACTGTACTGCACAAAATAATGAGGATTTAAGTCCAGAGAGAAGTGAAGGAAGCTTGCAAGTGTTATATCCGAAACAAATTAGCATCTCATTTCAGAAAATCTGACCAAGACTCTAAAAATAGTTGAGATTCCTATGAAAATGGACATCCACATGTAAAGTAACAGCCACTTTTCCATTTCTATATGAGCTTAACCCTGGGCACAATTTGAAGGAAGATTCATCAGGTGACTTTCACAAAAAAATAAAAAATAAAAAATTGAGAATCTGACGAATGCTGCAGGAAAAGCGGTGATTTTCCCATGTGGGAGAATGAGGCTTATTCTTATGATTCCTATGAACTGTAGAGCGTTGGATGGAGGGATGATGGATGCCTTACCACCACATCAGCTCATGGGTCCTTCAGCTGGATGAGAAAAAATAAATAAATCTCCTTTTGCTTTTTTGACAGGCAGAAATAGAAATTCTCAACCAGGATATCCTGGTTACACTGGAAGCTCTGAAAAACTGTCCATTGCCCCTTGAGGCCACTTGTTGAGTTCCCAGGCTGTATAAGATCACATCCTTGTATTATGTAATACTGGAGAAACAAAGTTCTCAGAGAAAGGCAAATATGAATAACTTTGTGCAAATTTACCAAGTTACACAGAGCCAAAATACTCTAAAACTATAACTCTCTACACAGTTACCACTGTTGCTCTGAGCACTCTTTGAACATACTGAACGTTTCTGCCTCGTCTAATGTGACTTAAATATGACAGCAGAACAATGCATTAAATATTCTGAGTTTCTGCTGTGAGAGGAACGTGCGCGGTCATACTGACAGAGTGATTTCACATTAAACTAATGACATTATGACCGTAGGATACTTGCTTCTCACTGCTGTTGTGGGAAATCTAACAAGTGAGAGCTCATTGATCATGAATAAATTGGAACCTAACACAAGAAAATGCTCCATGTTTGTTTACATTTGCACAACATGTTCTCT